AGCGAGCGGGCTGCGGGGACCCGCCGGGCGGGTGTGTGCGGGGTGGGGGTGGCGGCTCCGGCCGGCCCCCGGGGGCTCGCCAGGAACCGCGGGCGGAGCGCGCCAAGTGCGCCGGACGCGGGGCGGAGGCTCGGCCGTGCGCCGCGCGCCGGTGCCGGTCCCCGAGGCGGCGCCGGGCCCCGCCGCCCCCGGACGGCCCCAGCCCGCACCCACCCGCGCCGTCCCCGCCCCGGCGCTGCGCCGCTCCGGCTGCCCTCCGAGGCCTTCCCCAAACTTGGGCGCCGCCCTCCGACCGCAGCCCCGGCCGGAGCTCCCCGAGCGCGGGGCCGCCCCATGTCCCCCACCCCGCGCCCCCGGGCCCCGACTCCCGCGGGCCGGACGGCACTTACCTCCCGAGGCGCCGCGCGGGAGAGCGAGGCGAGCTCTCGGCGGCTCCCGCTGGAGTGCGAGGGGCGCGGAGGAGCGCGCGCCTTTAAGACTCTTCCCCGAGACTCCGCCAGGTGGTGTCAGGCCGGCCGGGCCCGGGCGGCTCCTCACCCCCGCGGCCGCCCTGCTCCCGGCCCGCCCCGGGCAGAGCCGCAGCCGCGCGCTCCCCCTGCGCGCCCCGCGGCGCCCGCTCTTGCGGCGCTGAGCCGGGAGCACAGGAGGACCGGATGGGGACAGCTGGGGACCCCCGGATGCCCCAGAGGAGGCCACTCATCCTACCCACTCTAGCTCAGGAGGGCCCGGGGCTTGGAGGAATCTTATTTTTTGGACCGGGTGCTGGGGTGGCGCCGGGGGAGGACAGGGCTGGAAAGTCTTGTCCAAGGACGTGCGATTACGTCCCCGCTGTCATCACCTCGGGACGCGCCTTAGGTCCGTGCTAAACCGGTCCTGTCGCCCTTGATCCAAGATGGCGAGCTGACACGCCTCCCCCAGTCGCTGCGGACAAGACCGAAGCGATAAAACAGACGGAGAGCTGTCGCCACTTAAAACTAGGGGGGAGTGCCATTCACACTCCTGAACCAGAAAAGTTTAAGAGGGCCCGAGGGAAGGTTGAAGGAACTCCAGTTCCTCCGGCGAGAAGCAGGAGTCGGCCTGCAAAGAGCCTAGAGCAAGCCTGTCTGCCGTGCCGCTGCTCCAAGTTCAAGGGAGCGAGTGCGTTCACGCGCGGGCCGCACCTGGGAACGCGGCGCAGGGCTCACGGCTGCTGCCCGGCGCAGGCTGGCAGGCGCAAGCCACCGTTCTGGCCCCAGGCCATTATCAAAATTGTAACTCATGGGTCCTCCCTTTCAGAAATTATTTTTTGACATTTATATTGAGATTGCAGGCTGCATTAATAATTAACTCAGGTTTTCTGCCTTCGTTGTTTACTGTTTATACAAACGCCTTCCTCATTCCTGAGTTTCTCATTGTAGTTTCTCATACAACTGAAATGTTGCTTTGAGTAACCCCTGGGGAAGGACACGTGGGTATGGGGACTTTCTGAGTCTTTGCGTGTCCAGGAATGTCTCTGTTAACTTCCAAGCAGACACTGGTTGCATATAGGATCCTGTAGGATCTAGAACCCATAACCCTTTATGTATCCGTCTGAGATAGGGGTGTCGTTAGCACTAAACAGGGAAACGAGTGGAAAGTGCTTGCTTTGCTTTGTGGCTAATACATCTGGGGAATCCCTGGACCTATTTGTGACGACCCTTTACAAGTTATTGATTCATTGCCTTCTGGTTTTTATAGTTGCAGGAACTTCTCCTAGAGAAGTTTTAGAGAATAACATCATTCAGACCTTTCTTCCCTCTTTTTTTTTTTTTTTTTTTTGGCCACTGGCTTTAGTTTTCTTCACTTTCTTGAAAGAAAAAAACAAACATATAGGTTCTATTACTGCCTCCCTTACTAATTACTGTTACTGACCTTGGGTTCGTCCTTTCTTCTCCCCTCACCTGTAAAAGGAACAAATTGGGCTACGTGACTGCTGTGGTCCCATCCAGCGCCAGGGGGCTGGGAGCCTATTAGCGGATGATTAAAAAGCAACCATCCCACCACAATAGGATAGCACTGCACCCCGAGTAGGATGGCTGTAATAAAAAAAGGTAATAACAAGTGTTGGCGAGGATGTAAAGAAATCAGTACTCTCATGCATTCCTGGTGGGAATGGGGAAAACGGTGTAGCCCTTGGAAAACAGTCTGGCAATCCATCAAAAGTTTAAACATACAGTTGCCCTGTGACCCAGCAATTTCACTCTTAGGGATATCCTCAAGAGAAATGAAAACATTAGTCTACTCAAAAACTCGTATATGAATGTTTATAGTAGCCATTATTCATAGGAACCCCAAAGGGGTTAACAACCCAAATGTCCATTAACTGATGAAGAGATACATAAAAGGTGGCATATCCCTATAATGCAATATTATTCAGCCGTAAAAGAAATGAAATACTAATGCATGCTACAAAGTAGATGAACCTTGCAAACGGTATGCTGAGTGAAAGAAACCAGTTACCAAAGACCACATGTCATATGCTTCCATTTATTCTGAAATGTCCAGCATAGACGGATCCATACAGACAGGAAGTGAACTGGTGGTTGTTTAGGGCTGGGGATGGGGCTTGGGGGCTACAGGGAGTGAATGCTAACGAGAATGGGCTTTCTTTGGGGGCTGATAAACACTGTGATGTTGGTTGCACCCACCCTGGGACTATACGAAAAACCACTGTACACTTTAAATGCATGAATTGTATGGTATGTGGATTATATCTCAATACAGATGTTGTATCCAAAGTCCTTCCTGAGCACGCAGTGAGTGTCAGGTGCTGGGGTGAGTACGGGGATACAGAAGTGAATGAGATGTGGGCTCTGCACTCATGAAGCTTACGTGAAGCTTACAGCATAATTGGGAGGTTAGCTATTTCAGAGTCTGCCAAAAGAATGAAACAGCCTCCGGCGCCTGGGTGGCTCAGTTGGTTAAGCGACTGCCTTTGGCTCAGGTCATGATCCTGGAGTCCCGGGATCAAGTTCCACATCGGGCTCCCTGCTTAGCAGGGAGTCTGCTTCTCCCTCTGACCCTCTTCCCTCTCGTGCTCTCTGTCTCATTCTCTCTCTCTCAAATAAATAAATTAAATCTTAAAAAAAAAAAGAATGAAACAGCCTCCTCCTCACACTGTGCACAAAGACTTCCATGGCCCATACAAAGACAAGACAAAGGTGACGCTTAGGTATTACTTTCCCGTTCTTTTTCCTCCTTTTCTCCTGCCCGGAAAGAAAAGGCTACAGTAGCCGTGAAGACTCAGTGGACTTTGACTCTCAGAATAGTGTCTCCCCAGAGAGCAGCCGCCTGCAAAGCCATGGCACAGTGATTAAGAGCAGCCCCTGTATATAGAGCCAGAACTCCAGGGTTCAAATCCCAGCCCTGCCTCTGGCCAGGCACATAGTCAAGTCACTTACCTTTTCTGGGCCTGCTTCTCTATGGGCAAAATGGGCATAACAGTTCCTAAGTCATGAGGCGAGAATGAGTTGATATCTATAAAATGATAGCCTGCGGTAGGCGCCCGGTAAGTACTAGCTGATGCTACCACTCAGTCCTTGCTACCCATCTGCCAATCAAGGTGCTTGACTTAGCTCACAGACCTGCTATTTTCTCATGTACCACTAGGTGGCGCAGACATACCACTTCGGACGCCGGAATAAGGTCCCTGGGTCCCCGGCATGGTTAACTCTGGGCTTTGATAAACCACCCCAAGAGTTTGCTCCTGCTGGTTCCATCTGTGAGCTATAGATAGCAACATCATCTATAACTTGGCAAATCTCTCTGGTCAGTGCCACTCCCTGGGAAAAGTGTTCTCCAATTTAGAGAAACCAGTGCAGGTGTACAAATGAAGTGCGTGGTCCCGGGCAAAATGTTCGCTGTGCCCCAGCTCAGGACCTGCTATGGAACGGTTGCTGTGATGCACCCTCCCAGGGCACCCTCCTCCTTTGGGTCACAAATATTTTTTAACACCCTCCCTTATCATCCTGAAGTGAAATTTACAATGATGTAGCTTTCCTGCACACATAACTTCCTCCTCCAACATAAGCCCCTGGTGAGTGACATATGCAAAAAATAAAAATAAAGTCACATATAGTCAAATAACACGCATTTCAATATGCTAATGCCCCGCATAGCTTCATTCAGTGATGTAGAGAAATAGTTTGCATGCTTCCATCTTGGGGTAGAATTACCAGGAAGACCTCTGTAACAAATGATATCTGATCGAGGCGTGGAGCCCTGGTGATTGCAACATCACCAATGGCCACCGCCCTGGGCAACGTGATTTTCCAAAGCGGGTCAACACGTTTCCGTGGAGCTGCCATCCTTCGTGTACGTTAAGATTGTCAATCAAGACAAAACAAGACAGATCCTTTGTGTTCGTTAACAAAGTAAAACTGGGCTCTGGGCACAGATGATTTTTTTTGCATCTTTATGAATGTTCAGGGGGACACTTCGAGGACCTCCCTTCATGTGGCTCTTTGTCCAGAAAGGGGGGGTGGCCCTGAGGGAGGCTGGCCTCAATGGCCGATCCCGGGCACAGCCCAGTGGTCTTTTTGAGGCTTTTCCTAAAACCCAGCTGGGAAGTAAATCAGCACAGACAGAATCCTGATTTTAGCCACAGGGGCCGGAGCCTCTGAGCAAACCCCTGGCTTAGGAGAATTTCCTGCTGTACATTTGCTAGGCACGGCAGTCCCAAGCTATTCCTGCTCTGCTTTCTCAGGGATGGGGTTAGAGAGACCGGGGCTCGGTGGAACAAGGTTTTGACATGTTGGCATGTCCAGGCTTGTCCCTGGGCTCCACCTGCTATGGGGCTTTTTCCGGTCCATGCATCTGGCCTTTCCTTTCTCCCAGCAGTTAGGGCACCTCTCCCCCGAACGCCCCCCACCCCACCCCAGCTTTCAGCTTGTTTGTCTTGAGAAGCAGGTATGACATGACCCAATCTCCCTGCTGGTATTCCTGGAATTCAGCTAGTTTAGCAAACCGAGACTGGATCCCTCCCGAGCGAGGCAGCCGCTTCTCTCTGTACACATTCCAGCCCTTCTGCCAATTGATGTTGCAGGGCCAGCTGGTCATCTACAACACAGGTTTGGACACCTCAAGAATTTCCTTCCAGACTCTGGCCTAAAAAGGGCAGCCAAAGGGCCCGCAATGCATCCTGCCATCAGACAAAAGGGTCAGAAGCCTCTCTAACTGTATATTTCTGCTCTTCAGACAACAGTCCGAATGCCTTCTCACTCAGCTATCCATGCACCTGCAGCTGTAAACCTACGTGGCTTCTCTAGTGCACAGACATTTATTGACCACCTCCTGTATGCCATGCCCTATGGTGCAGTGGGAACAGGGCAGGTACAGTCCCTGTTCTCCTAGGGCTCACGGGCTGGTGGAAAAGACAGACATTCAATAGACAATAACACAAACAGCTATGTGATTGCAGTAAGAACTGCAAGGAACATGGAGGCCAGATGAGGGAGCA